AGTGAATTTACTCTGTAAATCTTTACCCAAATCCTAATAAAAAAAAAAGAAAAAGAAAAGAAATGTAGTTGTTCATGTAGAAGCCTTAATTTTTACATGTTGCCAACTAATTGAAAAATTTCCAGAACACAAGCCAAAGACCCCATTTGCAATCTTTGCTGAAAGTTCAGGGTCATGCACTCATTTCCATTCATTCATTCACATATTCATTCGTCAGACTGCTGGCTTCTCAGGGGCAGGGGCTTTAGTCTTGATCACTGTTGAACGCCTGGCGCCCAGCAGCACAGTGCCTGCCATAGGGAGTGGACTCAGCACGTGTGGGATGAGCGAAGGCATGAATGAATGAATCCATGCAATCACACATTCATTCATTGCCCCAGCTCATTCTCTCTTCCTTTTTTTTCCCGTTATTATGACTTTTATTTTATTTTTTAAAAACTTTGTTGTGATTTGGGTGGAAGTTTACAGAGCAGATTGGTTTTCCATTCAACAACTCATACAGTTTGGGATGTTGATTACAATCCCCACAATGTAACAGCACTCATCCCATTTCCTCCCTGGGCCCCTGTTCCCATCTTGCCTCTTTCCTGTCCCTTCCTACCTTCTGAACTTGGATTCTAGCCAAATGCTGCCCTTTTGATCTCATGTGGTTGGTTGTCCTAAGGGGTATGTACCTCCCTGGTGTTATTGTTCATCCAAAGGCTTGTCTATTGTTTGACTGAAAGTTGAATCATGGGATGAGTTCAGTTCCAGGCTTGAAGGGTGTCTAAGGGCCATAGTCTTGGGGGTTCCACCAGTCTCCATCCAGCCAGAAAGCCTGGTCTTCCTTTATGATTTCTAATTTTGTTCTTGCTCTCTGGTTCGTTGCCCAGTCAGGGCCCTGGGGCTGTTCAGCTGACGCTTGGGACTATGAAAGCAAGAAAGCAATTTGGGATGAGGGCACCCAGAGGACTTTCCAGCTTTCTTTTGAGCTGGAACCAAAAGAGGTGTTTCCTTGAAGAGGGCGGTTCTCCCTGGAGGCCAGATGTGTC